GGCTGCGGCAACGCGCTTTGCCAGAATCCAAAGGTGTTTGGCCTCGCTCAACGGCCAAGTTTGGACCCTCCTGAATGGTTTATCAAAAAAGAAATAACCCGCCTCTTCAGGGATTCCCTATTCTTGGGATAAGCCAAACAACAATCAACTATCTTTGGGGCGTCCTTATGTTCAGATTCTGTCTCATTTTGTCGATCCTGAATTAGATATGTATATATATTATATATATATATATACGAACAGCTTTGCAATCAGAGCAGGTTCACTTTCTGCTTGAGGAGCTCTGTCTCCCTCCATGCACAAGCCTCCCCCCCGTCCTTGCCAAGACATCGCACCACCTCGGGAGCCCAAGCAATTCGCCGGATGGACGCCAACTGGTTTCTCTCAGAATGAGCGGACCCTCTAAATCCTCGGTTTCCTCGTGGTTTCCCTTTAAACCAGCCGCGCTAAAACCCAGGAAGGTGATTTTTTGACTTGGGGATCCAACTCTTATTCCCAGTTTTTGGATTTATTGAACAGTTGGCAAACAGATCACGAGCGGATCACAAATCCCAACAGTATCTCTGGAAAACGCGGGACACTCTTGGTCTTTGACAGGTACCACTTGCAAACTTTTTCTGGCGGAGGGGGGAGGCTCCAGGCAAGGAGGCTTAAGGGGGGCTGAAGGGGGTGGCTTGACGCAGGGTGGGAGGCTTTTGGTGGGGCTGAGAACAGGTTTGGCTGTTTTCATCCCAGCCCAGTAAGTACAACCAACAAAAAGCCGAGAGAACAAGCCGCGAGCCCACTTTAAGGCAAGCCGCAACCAAAGGGTCCACGGCAGTGCCATCCTGCGTAGGCGTGATCCATCTGCCAGCACTGGCACAATATCTTTCACTAATCTCCACGTCACCTACAGGAAAACGAACCAATTGGCCTACGGCCAAACCTTGGTTGCTGTTGAACCCCCCTGCAAAAGGTTGAACGGTTTGGAGGTTTAGTGGAAAACCCCTTGATTTCCCAAAAAGTTAAAGTCCAAAGATCCAACCCAACAGCAGTCAAGCACTTATGGCATGGCCAACCCGTGAGGTCCTTTCCCAAACCTGCCCGGCTGACTCTTCAATACTTCGGTTACGTCCTGACTGAGCTCTTTGGCGTCGTGCACCGTAAATCCGCACACATACTTCTTCTTAGTGCCTTGGTTCACAGGTTGATGGCTCTCAGTCAGTGATATGTGCATGTGAACGTGTATCGGAATGAACTTTTAAATAATCACACAATTGTGGTTCATGTTGGTTCCAAGGCTCATTTGTCTTCTGGGCCATTCCACATCTGGCAAACAGCAAGTATCATTTGATGCGAAGGTTAAGCATGAATCTGAACCCCCTTCGAACGTGTGCAACTATTTCGGGGTCCCTAAAAACATTCCCTGGTTTCAGGGGTCCAAAGGTGCTTCCTCCCGTGCCTCTGCAGATCAGCAGTCATCCAACTCCAATCCTTTAATTGGTTTCCCCTTTCCAGCAGGAGCACCGGCATCATATTCAAAACCAACACATTGAGAACCAGACCACCTCCCCGAAGGAAACGTCAGGTTCATGGCTTTTTAGCAACAATCCTCCTTTGTAAAGTCGCTGTACTTGGAACAGACTTGACCCCCCTTATAGGGGTCTCCTTCACCGCAGGCAGGAACGACATCACAACAACACTAACAGCAGCAACAACCGAACACACCGACAAACAAACAAACAAACAAACAAACAAACAAACAAACAAACAAGCAAACAAGCAGACAAACTACCAAACAAACAAACAAACAAACAAACAAGCAAACAAGCAAACAAGCAAACAAGCACCTGCACGCACGCCCGGCATGCACGCATGGCACCCCCGCACCCCCGAGCCACGCACCACACCCACACCCACACACACACACATACTTATACCTACACCCACACACCCACACCCACACCTACCTCCGCACCCACACACACCCACACACCAACACACCAACACCCACACCCACGGGCAACAGCTGAGACATGACAATCCTCTGCTTGCAATCCCCTCACACACCCACAAACCCGCACACCCACACTCACTCACTCATTCACACTCACTCACGCTCACTCACACTGACTCACACTCACTCTCACACACACACACATACAAACACACCCACGTGCGCTTGCGCAAGTGCACGTGCGCACACCTGTACGCCCGCCTGCCCGCCTGCCCGCACTCGCCCGCACACGCAACACACCCGCACACGGACACACGCACACACACACATACACAAATGTGTACATATATGTATATACATGTATATATATATATATGGTCCTGTCGGTTCAGTGCAGAGTCTCAAGGCATTTGTCACCCCCAGTCTGGCCAAAAACCTCAGTTCTGGCCAAAAACCTGTATTTCAAGGGGGTAGCATATATATATATATAATAGTTTTGTTTATAAACACCACACATGGAGTGCAACAGGCAGCTTTTGCCAGGCAGCTGTCGATGGTTGCCATGTCCAGCACGTCACCTGCATCCAAAAGATCCAAAGGGATGCAAATGTCGCGCTTGCGCTTGGCAGGAAATCAAAAAGCGCAGCGAGAGATGATCCGGCCTCACTGCAAGCTCCGAACTCCAGGCTCGAGTGCAGCCATGGCGAGTTCGAGTCGCGCGCGCTTGGCTTGACGTGCGCCTCGTCGGTTGCCCAAAGGCAGAGCCTGGTTACAAGCTTGTTGGCTTTCACTGCGCAACGCTCCTTCAGCTTGAACCAGATTTTCCACCCCACACCTGGTTTTGCATCCATGTTGCTTTGCCACAAATTGGTTGAGGGTCGAGAAACCTATGTCCCCGTTCAGCTAATCTTAGCCCCCCGATTGGAAAAGTACCCTCTATTGTGGCAATTTATTTGCGCAATTTAGGATCTTGTGACTGTTTTAGGGTTCTTAATTGTGGTAATTATTGTTGCCGGAAAGAATGCGGGGAAAAAATCCTGGCAAACAACGACTGGCCAAAAAAAGTCGGACAAAACACGGGCAAACAAATCCGGGCAAACAAATCGGGGCAAACAAATCCGGGCACACATTAGGAGTTCCGTTTTTTGAAGTGGTCCCCAAACCATCAATTTGAGATAACTTCTATACAAAAAAGTAAGGGCAAACACTCGGGCACAGGGGGTTGCCCACAAGAGGCCCTGAGCCTCTCTAATGTGCCTGTTTTGGGGTCCTCTTTAGTGTGCAACTATTTTGGGGGTTGCTGAAATTCTCAAATTAAAGCCTTAGCCTTTTACATTAACAAGGGTGGTTCACCTAACCTAGCTCTTCCCAGCTCAAATGGATCTAGGAAGTCCAGTTTGCCAGTGGCCCCCAAACCATCAATTTTGAGAGAACTTGTTTGCAAAAAAGTAAGGGCAAACAACAAGAGGGGTCCAACATTAACAGACAGGGGCTCATGGACATCAGGTTGCTGCCCACCCCATCGCGGTCAAACCTCAAAAACCTTGGTAGAGCCAACGCTCAATGAGTTTTGGGATCATCTCACAGTGTTGCGGAATCACACAGCACCGCGTTGTTTGTGTGTGGAACTAGAGGAATGGGCCCTGTAGCTGGATGTCCCTTTTCCATTCGAATGGGTGCAGCTCCGGAGAAATCGTTGGCCTATTGCAACCTCTGGCTTTGGCTCCTGCTCTGATCTAAGTCTGCGTCCAATGCAAAGCCCTCCTTGCAACCCCATTTGCTCAAAAACCAGCCTGGGTGCCAAAACTTGGGGGTCCAAAAAAAATCAAAGATCCAGCGCTCCATTCTGGTCCCCAGCCACAGGGCGCTGCGAACTCCCCTCAAACGTCGAGGAAACGAGGAAACTTGAGTGGACATTGGTCGAAACGCTGAGGTTTTTCTGCAGCACGGGACACGGAAGCCGGAAGCCCTGCCGCTGAGGTTTGGTTCTACCATGTCGTTAAGGTGTCGCTCTTCACGTTTACATTCCCAAGCCGGGCAGTATGTCACGTTGCAAATTCACAGGGAACCAGAAAAGGGTTGCCTAAAACAAGAGAGGTTCCTCTAGACATAGTTGTCTTGTGGGCTCCATGTCAACATGCAGCGGTTTAACACAACACAGAACTCCGCCACGGTTCAAGACCATCATCCTTCCTAAACCAACGGGACCAGGTCGCTCAATGGTTTTCTTGAACGCGATGTGTCGATCAAACAGAACAAGCGTATGTGCTTGACTCTCGGCTGCTGTTTGATGCTTATGACTTCTTTTTCAATAGGAGTTGGCCCGGCGCTCAGAAAAAAAACAAAAAAAAAACAATCTCTCTCTCCTCACTCTCCCGCTACATATTGCACAATATTGCACATAAATACATAAGCACACATATGTGCACATATTAGGGTGTGTCTCACATAGGGCAACCCCCAAAGCCTTTGGTGTTGAAGGGGAACCAAGAGGAATGGAACCATTTGTGTCAAATACAACGTGGCCTTGCCATGACAACTGTTGCTTGGCATGTAAGGGGGGCTTTCAGAGCTGCTCTCATGTTGCTTGCTCCGCTGAGCAACATGGCCTTGAAGGCACAGTCGCCACGAACCCATTCACTCGAATTCCACCACCCAGACTAAACACCCACCCATGCAGTTGAGTCAATCAACCTGGCATTCAAACGGAGAATGCAACATACAGCAAGCACTAACATCAAACACATGACCAACAAACCAAACAAACTCAACCACGGGAAAAACACAAGAGCAAAAACAAATCAATTCCACAAAGCGACAAACAACAATCGAAAGAACAAAATACATTTACCAACAGCAACCGCTCCCGCACACATGGCCAAACAGCAACAAACCAACAAGCACAATAAGCAACAAACAACCTGCTAAACAAATAGGGGGTCGAGAACATATATATACACAGGGATCCTTACATTATACACCCGAACATTGCCTTGTAAATGGTGGTTGCCCTTTAATTTTGGTGTTGAACAAACAACATGTTTCAAATGGTTGCAAAATGTATCGTTTGAGGAGCCCTGATACATCATATGGGCACGACCGCTGGGGACCCGTACGGCGCCGCAAAGAAAGGCGCCGGCGGCCTCCGCAATGTTCAGCACCGGGCGGTGCCTGTAGGAGATACTGTGGATGGACGAAATCCTGCACCACCTAAGAAATCCTGGAATGATTCGATTCCCCTGTAAATACCAACCAACAATGGTTTCAACCATGGTTTCCCAGTGGTGCAGGAATTCGTCCATCCACAGTACCTCTTTGGGTTGCCAAGGGGAGACCAAAAGGTGAGGTCGGCTTTGGGCATTGAATAGCACGAATCCCCATTGGCTCAAAGGTGAAAAGCTCGGCTGAAAGGTGAACAGGTTCTAGGGGTTGATTCCTTGTCCATTCCTTTCAGCCATTGTTCTGTTCAAAAACCAGCTATTTCCCCAGGGTTTTTGGTGAGAAAGAAGGATCCATGGGGAAGTTACCCCTAGACAGGTTGGCTTTGGGCAACAGATGGCACGAATCCCTTTAAGTTGGTAAGTACACTAGGTCCTCCAGTAGAGAGGGTAGAATAAGGGTAGCCTTTTTTCTGTAGTCGATTTTAGTAGGGGAACCCTCCCCCAAAAAAGGGTAAAAGGGCACTACTGGGGGACCTAGTATAGGTGATTACGTCGAAATGGGGGAATTGTACGTACTTTCAACTGCAAATCTGTCCTACGATCATTTTAGAGGGCAAGATCTTGCCAAACGTTCACACCTATGGAAGCTCAAAGGTAGTGCCATGACTTGACATTGAGTATGTGACCATGTTCATAAAGCGTCACGGAGACTGCAAGCTGGAGGATTCGTTGACAGAGCAATGAAATCCACCTGAAGCAGGAAAGCCGCAAAGCCAAAAGCGACCTTTGCAAGTGGGCGAAACTACACTCCTGTATTGAAACCCTGGTGTATTGGCCTTTTAGAATAAAGGGGTCCATGACTCTGTTCTGCTAACACGGCGAACGGACCTTCTCCAAAACTGGCGCTTTGATTTGCCTCTCAGGGATCCTTCTGTCAGGTCGACCCCAGTTGCGTGCAATGTGAGCGAGGTGCTTAGGCCCCCAATCCAACAGCCAAGCTGTGAGTCGCCCGAACGCTCGACCCGTCCTCAAGGAGGGCTGAGAGCAATTCATCCTGAACACCCGTTGCTTTTGGCCACGGATAGAGATGGGAAAGTCCGACTCATCACGTTTGAAGAATCAGCTTCTTGCCAGGGTCTTGGACTTGGAATGTGCTTCTTGCAGTACCACATGGTTGCGGGTCAAAAAATAGGAACCCAAAATGGATCCCTGGCAAATGGAAACATGGACTAAAACCTGCGGTCCCCTGGTGGTCAAATTTTGACCCATACATAGCTTCTCACAAAGAATGGAATACGTCTAAAACGTTAATGAACAGCGTCCTCTCCCAGAAGCCAACCGACTGTTGGGCCAAAGAAGCGACTGGGAAAAATCGCGGGCAGTTGGAGGCACCTTTCTATGACCAGACTCGGCCAGAGTCCCTTGCTCTGTTGAAACAGCCGGAAAAACAAACCGCACATTCGAGCATCCTTCAAGCACGGTTGGCTGGATCTTCAAGAATTAAATTTGAACACCAATGTTCATCATCTAGGTGTCCTTTTGGGGGGAAATAGATGGCCCTGGTAGATGAGTAAACCACCTGGTAAACCAGATTCATCTATTCTTTCGCAAAACAAAACAAGCAAGAAGGACACCTATGATCATCTACCTCTGCAGCTTCCAACATCCGACATTTCAGGTTCCAGCCCGTAGCTCTTGTCCTGGTTGTGCTGCTTCGAGCGGTTTCCCCCGAAGCAAGTTGAGATCTTGGATGGCCCTCAACTTACTGTAATCCACAAAAACGCTCATTCTCGTTGGACAATGAGTGCTTGACAAAAGTACTCACATTCTTATTGTAATGTTGGACTATTCCACAGCAAGTTGGTTCATTCCTATAGTAATCCAGTGCTTGACAAAAGTTGGACATTCGTTGCAGCTGGCCCTACCTTCCGGAACCTTCTAAGAGGGCATACGTACATACATACATACATGCATGCATGCATGCATGCATGCATGCATGCATACATACATACATACATTACATTTCATAAATACATTACATACACACATACACACATACATACATACATGCATTACATACATACATACATGCATACATACATTACATACATTACATACATACATTACATTACATTACATTCCATTACGTTACATTACGTTACATTACATTACAGTACATACATTACATACATACATACATACATACATACATACATACATACATACATACATTACATACATTACATTACATTACATTACATTACATTACATTACATTACATTACATTACATTACATTACATTACATTACATTACATTACATTACATTACATTACATTACATTACATTACATTACATTACATTACATTACATTACATTACATTACATACATTACATACATACAT